GCGAAAAAATCATAGAGTTCACCCCATAACTTCTGTCCCTTGCAGGTCACGGCTCATGTGCAGATTTTTTATTGGTAAAACGATTGGCCGATTTGCCTATCATTGCCGGGAAAATCGGCCAATCGTCAAAATCGGCCACAAATTTTCCAACATGACCGAAAAAAACCTGCAAAAAAACCGAAAAAACGGCTGACCAATTAACGCACTAACAGTGTGAAAATCGGTCTGATTTTTTTTTTCGGCCGAAAAATCGGCTGACTTTCGAAACGTCTATAGCCGGCATAAGATGTTTTGAAAGGGCATGACACTCAAAGTCTCAGGAAACCCATGAACTTGAAAAAAAAAATTGGCCCTTGACAAACTGACAGTGCACTATCTGTGCATTAATTAAATTTCTCCTTGATTGTCGGCAGGTGATCCTGGCAGTAACACACTTCCTGTCCTAGAGTGACAACCTTCATTCACTGTACTGTATTTATAGGGAAGCAGCACCTGTACCTTGTACCTCTAGGATGGGAAGCGTGTTAGACCTACAGAACACCTCCTCCTCTCCCCTTCTCCATAACATAGGATGGTGCTGTTCTGTAGTGCACAGATGGAGCTGGGAACAATGATTACTGCTAACAGTCAGCACATGCAGAAAACACAGGAAGTTATAAACTCAGTTTAGGCATATCAGCAAGCATTATTTTGCACTCAATAAACAGATATAACAAAATACTTTGAATTGTATGTGAGTGATGAGGTTTGGTATAGCTGGCACTCGTCTTCCTGAATAGTAAACTTTATTGAATGAGTAAAATGTGCATATAAAATGGTTTATGCGTTTCAGCAATACGCCCTAATCATAGCCATAAAGTACAAGTCAGGACTAAAGCTTATTGTAGAAACACGTAAACCATTTTCTATGCACATTTTACTCGCTCAATAAAGTTTACTACTCAGGAAGACGAATGCCGGCTATACCAATACTCATTATTCAGTTGCATCTGTGCTGAGAAGACACACAGAGCCAGAGCATGGACATTTCACCTCCATGGGGACTATCCCTGGGCTTAGCACCTACTTGTTCACTTCGAATTGTGTACTTAACATACAAAAAGAGGGTAAATAACTGAAGTTTATTTTTTTTCAGTTTTCTTACACTTCAACCTTGGAAGGAACCAGTGAAAACTCAGAAAATGTCAAGAATTGCTAACTGCTAAATGCTTCTTTACACAGTGAAATTTCTGGCAAAGCATTTAGAAATTGTTTGAGAAGCATTTAGGAGATAGAGCCTCCAACATTGCCAATTGTTACTTTGGTAAAAAAAAAAATGTTTGTGCTTACAATATTATTATTATTATTATACAGGATTTATATAGCTCCAACAGTTTGTGCAGCACTTTACAATATAAGGGAGACAGTACAATTACAATACATTTCAGTACAGAAGGAATGTGAGGGCCCTGCTCGTGGAGCTTACAATCTAAAGGAAGGGGGAGGTGATACAAAAGGTGATAGCTGCGGGGGATCTGGTGGAGGTGATTCAAGTACAGTTCTTACGTTGAGGTGGGGTAGTCTTCCCCGAAGAAGTGAGTTTTCAAGCAACGTCTAAAGGCAGACAGGGTGGGGGCTGACCGGACATGCTGTGGTAGGGAGTTCCAGAGGATGGGAGAGGCTCTGGAGAAGTCCTGGAGGTGAGCATGGGAGGAGGTGATGAGGGAGCGCTAGAGAGGAAGATATCATGGGAGGAGCGGAGTGGGCGATTTGGGTGGCATCTGTGGATGAGGTTGGCGATGTAGCTAGGGGCAGTGTTGTGGATGGCTTTGTAAGCTGTGGTTAGTATTTTGAATTTTATATGTTGGGTTAGTGGAAGCCAGTGAAGGTATTGGCAGAGAGGGGCAGCAGTCACTGATCGGTTGGTAAGGTGTATGAGTCTAGCAGCAGCATTCATAATAGACTGAAGGGGGGATAGCCTTTGTAATGGAAGACCAGTGAGGAGGGAGTTGCAGTAATCGATGCGGGATAAGTTTTGTGGTGTCATTGGTCAGGAAGGGGCGGATTTTGGAAATGTTCCGGAGGTTGAGGTGGCAGGATTTAGCCAGTGAGTGGATGTGGGGCCCAAAGGAGAGGTCAGAGTCTAGGATTACGCCTAGCACCCTGGCATGAGGGGAAGGACCAATGGTTGTGCTTTTGATCTTAATGGTAAAGTCGTGAGTGGGGGACCGGGGAGGAATAAATATTACAAGCTCAGTTTTTGAAAGATTAAGTTTAAGGTAGTGATGTGACATCCATGCTGATATGTTGCTTAGTAGATTTGTGATACCTGAGGAGATTGAGGGGGTGAGCTGGGGAGTGGAGAGATAGATTTGGGTGTCATCAGCATATAGGTGGTTTTGGAAGCCATGGGAGGTTATCAGTTGGCCCAGGGAGGAGGTATAGAGAGAGAAAAGGAGGAGCCCAAGAACAGAACCTTGGGGTACCCCAACAGAAAGAGGAAGAGGAGCGGAGGAGGAGGAGTTATATTTGACACTGAAAGTGCACTGAGAAAGGTAAGAGGAGAACCAGGAGAGAGCAGAGTCACGGAGGTCGATGGAGTGGAGTTTACTGAGGAGGAGCGGGTGGTCGACTGTGTCAAAGGCAGCAGAAAGGTCAAGGAGTATGAGTATGGAGTAATGGCCGTTGGTTTTAGCAGTTAGTAGGTCATTAGTGAGTTTTAGTAGGGCACTTTCTGTGGAGTGTTGTGGGCAGAAGCCAGACTGTCGGGGATCAAGAAGGTTGTTGTCGGTGAGGTAGCAGTTCATATGGTTGGGAACAAGGGGCTTGAGAAGCTTGGAGGGAAACGGGAGCAGGGAGATGGGTATACAGTTAGGTCAATATATAATTTGGAAACAGGCGCAAATTTCATACTTGTGGCTGTGTGCCACTAGTACTGTATAAATTAAAACATTACAATTCAAATGACTTTGAAGCGCAGACTTTCAGCTTTAATTCAAGGGGTTGAACAAATATCAAGTACATATTTTAGGAACTACAACCATTGTTATTCAGTCCCTCCATTTTAAGGGGCTCAAATATAATTGGACAAATGAATATAATCATAAATAAAATGTTCATTTTTAATGTTGAGAATCCTTTACTGGCAATAACTGCCTGAAGTCTGGAGCCCATTTAACCATGGCTCAACTTACCAACTATTATTCTGATTTTATTATTCTGAAGCTCACACTTCCATAGTTTTTCAGATGCTACCCAATGATCGTATGTGATGTTTTACTTTACATACACACAAAAAAAGTATGTTTATCCAGGGTCAGTAATGAATAAAATTATCAAAAAGAAAAAAATGTTTTAGCAAGCTGATTTTTTTATAATATAAATACTAACTATAGAAGTATGCAAATTACATAATAAAACAGCAGATCCGTTTTGTGACTTTGTTTTCACTACTAGTGTGGGAGTAAGATTCTTTAATAAATGTTCTGTCTCTGCGGGGTGGTCTGGGTCATCCTTTGTGTTTACATTCATATACCCTTGTTATAATTAGTCTGTTTCTTATCTTTTGCATATCCATTCTCTGTATCTATCATGTTGCAGCAGCAAATGGCATCTTTCTCAGTAGCCTTTCCAGACTTTTTTTTTTATCATAACTGGCTTTAGCTGAGAGCATGGTTATATCACACTCCTTCATCTTTTTAACTGTCTCCACATTTTCTCCTGGAGAATTTGTCTACATATGGAGCATTATCTGATTGTAACAAAACTCCCACTATTCTTATCACTATCACTACCTCACTGCTTAGATGGATTCTGTATCAGGACCCTGAGAATTTAGGTTATTAATGGGGAGAATGAAAGCTTAACTGTTACATGGCACAGGATCAAGATAGTGTGTTTTACAGCTGATTGAAGTTCTATCTGGAGAATTAGAGGTTAAACAGAGCATTGTCCATTGACCACGTACAGTTCCTTCCTCATCCCTCTTCCTGTAGGAGGATGGCTGGTTTCCCTGGGAAAACAAGCAACTCATAACTCTTTTTGTCGCTCCTCCCCAACTTTTCTATTTTTTTACAGCTTCCTACATAACCTTTTGTCTGGTCACACCATCGTGTGTAAATGTCAGCAGCCCTGACAGTGCTTACAGAACTAGTCTGTACCACAGACTTCATGCCTTGGAGAACAAGACTACTTCAACAAGAGCTCCAATGTGATATGATAAAGAAGATCGTGTGGACCCTCCACTAATCATTATTTCTTCAATAAGGATACATTCTGCAGTTTGGAAAATTTGGAAAATATGGCTCTGACAATATGGGTCATTGGGCACATCTTTAGTTTTCTACTACTTAGCTGCTTCCATAGAAGCTGTCAAAATTCAGTTTCTTTAATGGTGAGATTTCGCATCCAGGAGGAAGTACCCCTTGGCACTGTCATTGGACATATATCTGATGCATCAGGCTGGACAGAGGATGTAAATGAAGAATACCAACTTATACAAGAGACCAACGCTCTTCCAGTACAAGTGCATTTGAAAAACGGATCTATAACCACCACAGAGCGTCTAGATAGAGAGATGCTTTGTAAGGTTCATGGGCGCTGCATCCTTTCTTTTAATGTTCTAGCAACCAAGGCTTTAGCTCTTGTTCATGTGGAAATTGAAATCCTGGACATCAATGACAATGAACCAATGTTTCCAAAAGATGAACTAGAAGTAGAGATCTCTGAAAGAAAGTGCTTCCCTACGTACTAGGATTCCACTTGACAGAGCTTGGGACCCTGATTTTGGCAGCAATACTGTAAAGCTATATACTCTCTCTCCAAATGAACACTTCTCCTTGGATATTATCTCTGGTTCTGATGGCGTAAAACATCCTGAACTAGTGGTGGTAAAAGAACTGGACAGAGAGACGCAGTCTTCTTTCGAGTTTGTTTTAACAGCATTAGATGGAGGATACCCACCAAAAACAGGGACAACACAGGTTAGAATTAATGTCTTGGACTCCAATGATAACAGCCCCATGTTTGAGGAAAGCTCTGTAATTTTAGAAATCTCAGAAGACACATCACCTGGTACACTCCTTATAAATCTCACAGCCACTGACCCAGACCAAGGTCCAAATGGGGAAATTGAGTTTTCATTTGGCAAACACACACCTCATCATGTTCTTAACATGTTTAGCATTGATCCCAAGTTAGGTGAAATATTTCTGAAGCAGCCACTTGACTATGAAAGTAGGCACTCTTATGAATTAGATGTGCAGGCAAAGGACTTAGGCCCTAATCCTATCCCTACTCACTGCAAGGTCGTCATTAAAGTTCTGGATATTAATGATAACACTCCTGATATTAAAGTCACTTGGGCTGCTCAAGATTCTCCTGAGATCATTGTGTCTGAGGCTGTTCCACTGGGCAGTTTTGTTGCTTTGGTTATAGCAAATGATCCAGATTCAGGTGCAAACGGGGATGTGCACTGTCACTTAGTCCAAGACCATGAACATTTTAGGCTTCAAAAAGCTAAAGGAAACAGTTATATACTAACAACCAATGCAATTCTAGACAGAGAAAAATTGGATGTGTATGACATAACTATACAAGCCCAAGATCAAGGTGAACCATCTTTTACATCTAAAAAATCCTTAAAAATATTTGTTCGTGATGCTAATGACAATGCTCCAGTTTTTCAGAGGCCTAAATATGATGTTTCACTATATGAAAACAATAGTCCTTTCACTCATCTTCTAACAGTAAATGCTCTGGATGCTGACTTGGGTAAAAATGCAGAGGTTACCTACAAGATTATTGACTCTATTATCTCAGGGACACCACTATCAACGTTTGTTTCTGTCCATTCCAAAACTGGTGAAATTGTTGTGCTGAAGGCCATTGATTATGAGGAAATCAAAGAAATGCAATTCTTGGTGCAAGCAGAAGACAATGGTGACCCTCAACTCAGCAGTAATGCTTCTGTCAAGGTGTTGGTAAGAGACCAAAATGACAATAGCCCAATAATTGTGCAACCTCAACTTAAGAATGGTCGTGCCACTATCACCATCCTTGTGAATGCTGAGAGTGGATACTTTCTTTCTGCCTCAGAAGTTGCCAGCTCAGAGGCCTTGGGATATACATCAGATGAGATTTTATCAGAAACAGCCAAACTTAACAAACACCCAATATTTCAAGTAATTGCCACTGATGCAGACTCAGATGAGAATTCTAGACTTGTCTACCATTTGTTGGATAACTACCTAGGCTTGTTTGCTATGGATGCACATCTTGGATACATTTACATAAATTCCAGTAATGCCAGCAACTTAATTGGTAGTGTCATAGACTTAAAGGTCACTGTCAGAGATTGTGGAATTCCTTATCGGGAAACCAAAGCTCAGCTAACAATTATGTTTAGTAGCCACCTGGACCACTTGAAAAATTCAGCTAGCGAAACCAATGGTAAGCTGAGCCTGTCTGTGGTAATTGTTATTTGCCTGGCTGTTCTTCTAGTTGTATGTCTCTTTATATTGGCTCTCATAATGTCCTTTTGTCGAGTAGATAGAAAGGACAACAGAGCATACAACTGCAGGGAAGAAGAATCTGCTTATAGGAAGCAGCCTAGAAGGCCTCAAAAGCAAATACAAAAGGCAGATATTCATGTAGTCCCTGTACTTAGGGGTCGGCAACAACCACAACCAGTGACACCAGTAGAAGAGACCAAGTTGTTTCCTATGCCAGATGAAGGAAAAGAAGTTCCAGAGGATCAAACTCTCCATACTCCTTTTCATCTCACACCTACACTATTTCGCACACTAAGGAACCAACATAACCAAGAAATATTAAGTGAGGATACTACAGATTTAGAGCAGTCTTTCTCCTTACCTCCCTCTGTGTGTCGAACATTACAGTATCAGAGACAGAGAAGCTACTCTAGAGAGAACTTTGAAGACCCCAATGGAACCCTTCCAGTTAGTAATAAAACCTTAAAGAACCCTGGTAGCCCTCAAATAAGAGTCCACGATCATTTTAGCCCTTCTGAACCCATAGTATACAATGGTGGGGACTTTTCTCCAGCTACTTCTCCTACTTTAAGAAGACAAAAGAATGTAGAACAGTCATCTAAAGAGCAGATCTTGAGAAGCCTGGTGCGACTATCGATGGTGGCATTAGCAGAGAAAGAAAGTGTAGATGTTACCATGCAGTCACCCCATGTGCAGGTAAGCCAGTGAATTATTATTTTCTGCTGCTTAACTTTTTAATGGCTAATTTTCCTCTTTTTATTGCACCTCTAATTTACCTGCTCCATAAGAATGTATTACTATGTATAAATAATACTTTTAATCCATAGATGTACAGTATAGTGCATATGAGAAATCATGTTATGACTATAAAACTTTAAGGGACCACAGTTAAATATGACATGATTAAAGTGCATGCAAAGCCAAAACTCAGATGTTTCAGATGGACTAGGATTTTTCTGTCTGTGTCCCCTTGAAGAGATTTCCCTTCACTTCCTGTCCCAGAGACACACCAGAAAGTTACAGAAAATCTCTCCAAAGTGAGGGTACATCCCCTCTTAGACAGATGTCAGTGGGAACAGCTATATCTAGATTTCCCTAGCCTCATGCTCCCTAAAAAATGACTTCACTTTCTGTACAGGAGACAATAGTCCACAGGATGTTCTAGCTTTGCATACACTTTAAGGGAAAAAAAACTTTGGTAATGAGAATGATTGCTTTTACGGGATACATGCAGTATATATTAAAATACACTGGGCTTGTTGATGAAGTCCCTTTTCATTCATTAGAGTGGCAGCTAGTGCAATTACTTGTATGCAAAATTATGTCCTTCAAGATCGCTCAATATGTTTAGTCACTGCTGTTATAGTGACAAAAGATTCTTAGTACATGAAGTTTAGCAGCAGTGTGAATGGCAGAACATCCCAGCATTTAAAGTTTAAGACCCAACTTGTGACGTGGGATAATTTTTCCTAAAATATAACATTAAGTAATAAAAACACCGGCACATGCATTGCTATCTACACACTGTACATTAGTTTAACAACACCAGTGCATTTATTATAAGGGACAATGGTTGGTGAGCTTGCCCTTATGTTTGCCATCTCTACAATACTGCCTGAGCTATTTTTGTTAGTCTGGTTATCATACTGTTTGAAAATGGATTTCCAATTAATAGATTCACCAAATATATTGAATGCAGTTAATGTTTTCTGTGTGATTGACGTTACATAATAATTCATTTTGTTAAAAAGCACAAGTAAAAAGTGCTGAACAGATTTTCAATTCATTGTATCACTCAATATATTTATTATATGATTCATCATAAATACCCTGGAGTTCTCTATCTTGAAATAATACACAAGGCCAGCACATACTTTGCTAGCTTAATTCAATGTACTACTACTTCTACTCTGAAGGTGTGCACTGAGCATGCTAGCACTTATATGAAGTGAATCTTTCAAATTAGAAATATGGGGATTGGCAAAGCTGACCTCCATTTAAAATGCAACTTATCTGGCTGCTATAGCCTAGTTATACTTATCTATGGCCATTTGCTATACATTCATACATACCAACTGTTTTTGAAGGCCAGTTTTAGACTGGAGCAGTGCTCATTTTTTGTACTGTTGAATTGCTGGTCAAGGGGGTGCACTGGACACCCTAGCTGCCATTGTGCTACATGCTGGGTGTCCAGTGCGCTCCTGTACCTTTAAGGAGAGGTGGGCTCCCTCAGGTCCATCTGCCCTTGGTCTATCCATTAAATACATGTGCCTCTACTATGGGGGCTCTTACATTTGTAGAGTTAGGAACTACAGAATATCGGGGTGCTGTGTAGAGGCTCTGTAGCTTACGCATGTATTTGCAAATGTGTGCTCACTAAACCCGTTTTTAACACATACTGCTAGACAGGTAAATTCAGTTTGTTCGCAGGCTAGCTGGCAAGTTGGGAATTTTTCTTTTTTGTTGTTTCGGCAAAACTCTCTTCTTGCCTTTTTGGCAAATACAGCCTTTACTCCAACAATGATGTGCCACATCGTACCAGTGACTAAAAGTTTGTAATTTATAGTGATAAAGACTACAGCTATTGTCTGCAGAGATTTACATGCCCTTCAGTATACTATACCTAGATGAGCTGAACATCTGGTGGAAGGACTTGTGTTTCTTGGAGTTCATGTATATCCTGTCCTTGCACTCCAGTGTATGCATCCAGGTGCTGCAGATGCTTCTGAACGATACCCAAAAAAAACATTTTCCAAGGGAGATCAGTGTATCAGGTATGCTTCCCTATCAGTTTGCTGCCAAATAAACACATAAATTATTTAAGGAGGAAATGGGAAACTCTTGTGAATATTTTTTAAGCAAAATCTAATTAGAGCCAATGGTAAGTTGGCTGTTTTAATTTTACAGAAAACAACCTTTAATATATCTAAGTGATTTTTATCAGTACTAGATGATAGCAGGATCGAACAGTACTGGACTTATACTTTGTTTGCCCTAGGTCAACTTTCTAATGCCTCCATCTTTTAATTCAGTGATTGGACAGCCCTAGTACAACACTTTCATGATAGTCTATTAAAGCCACAAAGTGCACCAAGGCTGGGGACAAAAAGCCTGATAGAGACAATTTATCTACTCTTAGAACTAAAAAAGTATGGCAAACTGTTCTCTTTTTTTTACTAGTAGTTTGGTGTTAAGTTTCTGGACTCAGTTAGCCACCAGTTGAGTGTATGGCTGGGTTTGCAACCCTGGGCCTTTGCATATCTTGGCTGTGCAGAAATCTGACCTTGGTTGAAGTCACTATCACTAACATCCCTGACCTTGCCATTAGCATCTCTGTCTGAATATATGGCAGGCTGTCCACTGTCATCTGGCCATCTTAGGGCCTAGGTTACATAGTCTGCCTAAAAATAAAGACCAGACAACAACAGGTAGCTAAAGTACACCTGTCATGTGAGAAATATAAAGGTTGCAACAACTGACCAGGAGGTTGTTATGCTGTTGCTTTGACTACTTTCTTAGTCACTGATCAAGGGTGAACATGCACACAGCAAGGCAACTAGCATTGGCAAAAAAAATTCAGCAATGGCAGTCCACATACTTTTGGTATACTTTAACCATCTCCCGCCCGCCCCGCCATATAAGGTAATGACAGGAGCAAAGCTTTTCTCTCGTTCTGGGAGGACGTCATATGACGTCCTCCCATTCTAACCGTGCATGCGCAGCTCCGGGAGCGCGCAGTGTGGCGATCAGTGGTGCACTGTGTCCCTCGGACACAACGGATCACCGATCAACGGAAAGAGACGAAGATGTCGGCTCGGTCATGTGATCAGCTGTGTCCAATCACAGCTGATCACACGTAAATAGGGAAATGCCGGTTATCGGCATTTCTTTCCTCACGATCTGTCACGCTGAGGAGAGCCAGTAATCGGCATTCCTCAGAGGGGACATGTACACTGATCATCAGGGCACTGATGATCAGTGTGCTCTGATGATCAGTGTAGCCCCAGTGGTGCCACCTGTCAGTGTCCATCAGTGCCAGCTGTCAGTGCTCATCAATGCCACCTGCCAGTGCCCATCAGTGCCACATCAATGCCACATATCAGTGCCTACCAGTGCACATCAATTCCACATATCAGTGCCCATCTGAGCTGTCTTTCAGTGTTACCTATCAGTGTCAGTCAGTGCCAACTATCAATGCCAGTCAGTGCTACCTATCAGTGCTGCCAGTCAGTGCCAGTCAGTGCCGCCTATCAGTGCCAATCAGTGCCGCCTATCAGTGCCCATCAGTGCTGCCTATCAGTGCCGCCTAACAATGTCAGTCAGTGCCACCTAACAGTGCCAGTCAGTGCCACCTATCAGTGCCAGTCAGTGCTGCCTATCAGTGCCACCTATCAGTGCTGCCTATCAGTGCCATATATGAGTGCTGCCTTTCAGTGCCCATCAGTGATGCCTGTCAATGCCCATCAGTGCAGCCTCATTAGCGCACATCAGTGAAAGAGAAAAATCACTTATTTACAAAAGTTTATAACAAAAATTAAGAAAAAACGTTTTTGTTTTTTTTTTCCTAAATTTTCAGTTGTTTTTGGTTTGTTTAACAAAAAATAAAAAACCCAGAGGTGATTAAATACCACCAAAGAAAGCTCTATCTGTCTCAAAAAAATGATAAAAATTTCATATGGGTACAGTGTTGCATGACCGCGTAATTGTGAATCAAAGTGTGACAGCGCTGAAAGCTGAAAATTGGCCTGGGCAGGAAGGGGGTATAAGTGCCCTGTAGGCGAGTGGTTAAATAAAGTTTTATCTTTACAACTCCTGTATTCACTTGTCATTTGAAAGACAAAGAAAGCAGAATGTGTTTAAAACAAATTGCTGTATGATTAGAGAATATATAATAAAATAAAACAAAATTGCAGCCATATTTTTTTATGGTGAGGTGCAAGAATAAAACCCCCCAAAGGGATTGGTTGAATTTAAACTTCAAATTCAAAGTAAAGTGATACAACTGAGATATTTAATCAGATCTGATTGTATGCTTACAGTAGGGCTAAGTACAGCTTACTGTGTATAAAAAGTCCGTATGAGATCATTAGACTGAAACAGATGCTTTTTTCACAAAATATTTGAAAACACTCTAGGTCTGCTCAGTCTTAAACTAGAATTAAATGGCTGAATTATCTCATATTTCACATATTCCATTGGAATATGAGAGGTAAAGATGACAGATTTTTTTCAACATTAAAATATAATATATACCACTAATATTTCTCACTAGACAGTGGAATCTGCTTGTTCTCACAGAACTAAGGACGTTTTATTTTGTTTCATCATTGCAGCAAATTTCGCAGCTTTTATCTCTGCTCCACCAAGGACAAGTTCACCCCAAGACACTTCACAGAGGAAACAAGTACTCATCTAAGACTGGCAGGTAAGAATAAGTAATGGTAGTTAACTTTCTTCCAATTAGTAGATAGTGCTATATTCTGTCACTCTTGTCTGTAGAGGAAAGCTCTGCTACTCCAGATAATAGGTCACCTTCTGCCAAAAAGAAACATTCCTTTTTAAGCCATCACCTACAGAAACTGTATGTATCTAGATAATGTTTCAGAGAGTTTGACATTTTCAACAGCTGCAAAGAACACAACAATTTGAACGTCTTACTTTTATAAAGAATTGGTAACTAGCAGGAATGGAACTGTGGACAGCACACAGAGGCCTTCAATGGTTTAAAATTTCCCATAGTGCTGTCAACCTAGCTGCTTCACAAGATCATGGTCTTGGTGTAAGCATTGACCAAACCCTCCCCCTTGTTCTTGATTGAGATGTAGAACAGCTCAACAATCAACTTTTTTAATATATACACTCACCAGCCACTTTATTAGGTACACCTGTTCAATTGCTTGGTAACACAAACTGCTAATCAGCCAATCATATGGCAGCAACTTAATGCATTAGGCATCTAGGTGTCCGTTTGTGAACCAGCGGTAATAGATCGCTGCTCAGTTCTCCGGCATTCTCAGAGAACACAGTTCTCCTGTGAATGCAGTTTATGAAGCAGTTCTCCGAACGAAGGGAGAACGGTCTCCAAACGCTGGAGAACGGTCTACAAACTCTGAAAAAAACGGCTCATTTTACTATAATCTCTCGAGATTACAGTAAAAGATCAGTTCACTAAGCAGAGGTAAACTATCTCTGCTTAGTTTTCGGTCCCTCTGATTCTCCAGCTCTGGGCTGGAGAATCTGGAGGGAGAACACAGATCTCCAGAGAAGGGCTGACATGATCTCCTGAGTGTCATAAACTGTGAATGACCAGAGAATAGCTGAGATCTGTTGAATCGCAGCTATTCTCTGTGTCATAAACGGACACCATAGTCGTGGTGAAGACGACTTGCTGAAGTTCAAACTGAGAATTAGAATGGGGAAGAAAGGAGATTTAAGTGAATTTGAACATGGCATGGTTGTTGGTGCCAGACGCGCTGGTCAGAGTATTTAAAAAACTGCTGATCTACTAGGATTTTCACGAAAAACCATCTCTAATATTTACAGAAAACAGTCCAAAAAAGAGAAAATATCCAGTGAGCAGTAGTTGTGTGGACAAAAATGCCTTGTTGATGTCAGAGGTCAGAGGAGAATAGGCAGACTGGTTCGAGATGATAGAAAGGTAACAGTAACTCAAATAACCACTCGTTACAACAAAGGTATGCAGAATATCATCTTTGAATGCACAGCACATCAAACCTTGAAGCAGATGGGCTACAGCAGCAGAAGACCACACAGGGTGGCACACCTCTCAGCTAAGAACAGGAAACAGAGGTTACAATTAGCACAGCCTCACAAAAATTGGACAATAGAAGATTGCAAAAATGTTGCCTAGTCTGATGAGTCTCAATTTCCTTAGAAATGGTTGTGCCTTAGAAATGGTTCCTTAGAGAAGGTTGAAATACCCAGAGCAGCCCGTCTGGCACTAACAACCATGCCATGTTCAAAGTCACTTAAATCCTCTTTCTTCCCCATACTGATGCTTGGTTTGAACTTCAGCAAATCATCTTCACCATGTCCAGATGCCTAAATGCATTGAGTTGCTGCCATGTGATTGGCAATTTGTGTTACCAAGCAATTGAACAGGTATACCTAATAAAGTGGCTGGTGAGTGTACATACATAATATATACATACAATATATTCTTAACTCAAGAGATCACCAAGGTTTCTTGCCTTGAGTGCTACAACATCCAACTTCTACTAACACACTAACAGGTTTACCCTCTCTATAATCATGGATGCTGCTGCATGACCTACACCTTCTACCACTCATCATCTGCTTCACCTCACTGTCAGTCTTTCCAATGGTTTTCAGGCAGAAGGGGGTATAATGCTTTGCCTTCAAATCATTTCTCAACTCATGTACTACCTATATACTTCCAGATCTGTGTTCTCTTGATGTGCACCCAGTTAAAAAAAAATAATACAATAAAAAAATAACATTTAAAAATTTACAAAAGGTAAAGATCAAACAAACATTGATTTAATTGTTTTGGCCATTTTTAGGTTCAACTATACTGGATAATTCAGGATAATTGAATGGTAATTCCTTAACTCTCAGGAGCCAGGAATCTTCATTCCATCTGTAAAACTCACCAAAAAGCACCATATTTTTACCTTTCTTCAATGTATTATGCCAAAATGGCACATTTTTCTGACATGTCCCAATTCTTTTAGCAGTGTAGCAGAAATATAAGTTCCATTCATCTCAACTTCTTATCCATTTTGCTTTCTACCCTAAACTTTTACTACAATGTAATCCACACCCATTTCTTCCAGATGGAACTTGGTCTGTTTGAAATTGGTAACCCATATTATTTCATATTCATAATTAAATAATAATGATGATAATATTAGTCAAATAAATGTCATTATTATTGACCGAGGTGGGCAGTAATAATTAAGCCTGGCATCTGCTCATATGTCCATCCTTTCACTACAGCTAAGTATAACAGTAATTAAATAAATCAATTTCATAATCAGTTTAAATATAAAAGAAAGCAAAGCCCTATTTAATTATTACTTTCTGTTGATATTTAGAACTGCTGGGCAGGAGACTGATTGGCAGAGCACAAAGGACAGTGGCCATGGTGAGAGTGAAGCTGGAGATCTGGACTCTGAGCCAGGGGGTGACTTCGCTGCTAGCCATAACCTCCTAGAAGACAATTTTGAGACTTTTCTGGGCCCTAATGCAAGTAAGTGAAATTTACTGTGCACAGTGATGGGATATGTTTTCAGCTTTGGTGACTATTTGAAACCCTGTAAATGAACATAAAAATGTATTTGGATATGCATTTCCATTTAACTGTGACTGCAGAAAATAGTCTATAAAATTTAATTATAGTAAAAGAATAACTATAATCCAATAAAAGTTTTTGAAATTTCTGATTATACTGTATTTAGAAGCATGCTACTCCAAACGCAAATCCTGGATTCCCAAATTCTAGGTTACATTGGATGAACACTGTATAGTAGAAACTCAGCCTTGGTTGGCTGCTTGGGTCCATTGGTCACTGGACTATGATTAGCTAACTTGATTGTCTGGTTGGTGGGGAGTTAACTACTTGCCTTTTATTCCATCTATTTTTTTTAAATTAATATTGGCCGTTATTCCTATATGGTTCAATGGTGTTTGAAGTATCCCTGTTGGACACCATTTTTTGTGGATCTGAAGTCTTCTTTTCATACAAGAGCCTCCTGTGTGGAAGAGTTGTTGGCGTCCTTTTTGCCTTAACAGAGTCCTGTTTCTAGAGGGGTGCATACATAGCCCCTGAATAATTGTTTCTACTATACAGGGTTATACAATGTTACCACCCTGACACCCTCCCTGATAAAGATTCATACCAAGAGTTGAAATGTGTCCGGGGTTGCCTGCCATATGTATTATTATACACATATGCTTCATGGTGGTTGTATGGATTTTATTTGTGGACCATTTTTTCTTGTACTTGTATGTACGGTGTTTTTACATATTTTTGTAATAAACGTTTTTGAATTTTAAGCTAGCAGAAAATTCCTTTCTATTACTTTTCATTATCTATTTATTGATAACAGACATGGACTTAAATAGTCTATATAGTGAATTTGGTGCAAAGTTATTCACTTCCAGGTCATTACAAAGGCCAAGGGGGCACTCTGCCACTGGATAAAAAGAGTTTTAATCTCTGCTTAAGGAAAGGCTTCTTCACAGTAAGAACTATGAAAATGTGGAATAGACTCTCTCAAGAACTAGTTCTAGCCAGTTCAGTCGATTGTTTAAAACATGCTGGATGTATCCCTGAATGCACAAAGCCTAACAGGCTATTAACATTTACAAGTAACAGCACCTGAGCTTATGGATCCAGGGAATATCCAATTACCTTAGGGAATCAGGAAGATATTTTTTCCCCGGAGGAGCAAATTGGACCATGCATTAATGTTTTTTGGCTTCCCCTGGATCAACTGAGGGTATAGGGTGCTGTATGTGGAGGTCTTCAATTTCTTTAGTCAT